CAAAAGAGAAGAAAAAATACAGGAGCAAAAACAAACTAACTATACTACGCACGAAAAGGCTTTAATTGAAAAAAAATTATAATAAGAATAAATAATTAAAAGCTTTAATACCTTTGTAATTATTTGTAACTAAACAAAAACACAATTTTTACAGTTTTAAAGTTATATATTTGATGCCTTATTGTTCATATTTGTATGTGCGTGTCTTAACTGCTTTAAATCCCGCCAAATATATTACTAATGCATCATGATTCTTGAAATCACTGCTGTCTTTTTGTGTTGTGTACACGCCTCCCATTTGTTTATTTAGAAGCATTGGGTAAATTAATTGTGTTTGATTGGCATTAACATAGCCAAATAAAAATTTGAATTTGGTAATACTGAACRCCCTGAGGGCATCTGCGTCCCAAACCACAAAAGTACTTATCAAGCCTTCCTCAGCCGCCTGGCAGCATTGCTTTAGAGAGMAGCGCTTGTTGGTTCTGTAAAATACTGCTGCATGGCATTTGATTTGTTTATTTTTATGTGGGACATCAAAACAATACGCCTCATATACATGTATTCCTGATACGAGAAGCTCGGCACACGCCCTTGTTTTTCAATGCAAATCTTGAATATTTATGTGCAAACATGACTTTATTTGAAAATGTTATTGCTTATCTCTGCCATATGAGGATTTCCCAATATGCTGTTCTGCCTGGAGGGGCTGCCGCACTTTCAGCCGAATCTATCTCACCAAGGGAAAATAAAAAAAATAAAAAAATGAATGAATTAGCACCTCCTGTCCAGTAAGAAATGAACCTAATTTATAATCTAATTATAAGGATGTCTTAGGGATCAAATTAGCATTTTGGGTTTGCAAATCTCGGTAAATATGGAAATCATCACTTTGTTATTCCCATYTTCATTCACACAAGATTGCGCATGAATGTCACCCTCTTTTATGGTTTGCAGCGTGATTATATTGTAAACAGTGTCCCCTGTTTGCGAGCAGAGCTCATCACTGAACACGTGGCTGCAGCTAGCCTGTTTCAATACTCATTCATCTTCWGCACGCTCCAGCCTGCTGCTCAGCCAGCCTCGAAGTCAGGAACGCTGGAAAAGGGATGGGAAGCGTTAATTAACAGCAACCAAGCACCAGCCTGAGACTTTCTTTAAGTTCGCCACTTCTATCTCTCCCAGCTCTCTGGATGAAGCCACACGTGTCATGCATATGAAGGACATGTTGTTTGTCTTTCTGCATATTTGTCTTACTTTTTTAATTTCTATGGAGTTTTTTTGTCTTGTTCTCTGGTTTACTTTCACACCTGCAGCCTGGTGCTGATTGACACACAGCTGCTTTTCATGTCAGACAAAGATGACTTTACAGCCTGCTCTGTGATGCTGCTCACACGCCTGACCTCCAAAGTATTTGCATGAATCCTGATTAAGACGAGTGTTGCTTTGGAAATTGTGGTCGCTAATGTATTCTTCATCATTATCATAACGAATAATCCCATATTATAAGTCATAAAGAAGKCACTGGGTCTTTTTTCATTTAAACAGTCCAGGTTTCTACATAAATACTGAAGCCATTGTTAGAAACTCTGAGTTTTGGACTCTTCATGGTTTTTATTAATTTTTTTTATTTGGTATAAAAAGTATTCCAGCATAATGTTTATGTCACTGCCATTGGATCAAGATGTTTGACCATTTTGATGTAGTGGAACTAGGGTTGGGCATTATTGGCAAAAAAATTAATCACGATTAATTGTGGTATTTAGCCGATAAYGATTAATTTGACGATTAATCCCCTGGAGTCCCTGAACACCCTTATGTCATAGTCACATGACCAATTTAGTAGTAAAGATTTGCTCTTCGTAAAAATCTGTTTCAAATTGTGTCAAAATTACCGACTTGGGGCTATACATCAAATTTTAAATGTTGTTGACAGATAAATAAATTACAGAACTTACCTTTTTTTAATGTTAGTCATATTTGAAGCGGAGAGGAGCACCAAATGGACTGACTGTCTAACTGGTGGCCTTAATCGTATTGAAGAAATTTTTAGTTATTTATAGATTAGTACTGATATTAGAAACAACACCAGAGTATTAGGGTTTTCTTTTCATAACACTTTTTATAA